GACTACAATGCACAGAGGGGAAAATGGGGGAGACCGGGGTCTTAACCGACAACGGTGTACGTGACGTCACAACGACCAAATTGAGCGTGGGGATCAGATATAATGAATAAAATGTAGGCTGTAAAGCCACCAGTATACCTCTATGTATATGTAGAATGAGAAGGTGTGTGGACGCTCTACTAAATAAATGAGTAAAGAGACCGAGCAACAATTATCAGATTAATCTGAAGAAAAAACAAATAGTAATGCAAATAATTATAGCAGAATGCACAGTACCAGTACAAACAGCTCACAGTAAATGATACCAATATGTACAGTATCAGTACAAACAACAGTAGACACAGTGGAATTATACCAATATGCACATGTAAACAGTCCCCATTCTAGAATAAACACTACCGTGTGGAAACCATGCGGCCGGTTGGAGCTCAAATTGAATGGGAAACAAAGTCCAGTGTTCACTTAGCTGGGCGTAACTTAGCTGGGCGATGTCCGTGGATAGCTGCCTCCTTGAGAAGAGAACAGAAGGAAGGGAGGGGGGTATCACTGTCCGAGGGCTGCCGTAGAATGGCAACCAGGATGTCAGCCGACCAACACTCGCTACCCGCTCCCTGGTTGCGGCGATTTGCGATGCTGGCCAGCTAGGAATGAACTAGCAGCCAGTACAGTACAGTCCTCTCTGGTCTAGCTAACATTTAGCCGTGTTACTTACTGATCCATTAGAAAGAAAGCTAGCTGGACATGGGTTTTGAAGCCTCTTTGGTCACGGAGCTCCCTCCATCTCTTGAACGCCTGACTGAGGTTTACTCTTGTTTTTCCTCTTCTTTTATCACTCTCCTTTTTGCTCTTCTTTGCCTCCTCACACAGAGGAGCTCCTTTTCTTTTGCTAGGCCGTTTTTCACTTGTCTCCAAACTTTGTCCGTCTGTTATTGTGCTCGTGATTCAACTATCTCAGGCCCAACTCCTCATAAGGACCAGCTCCAGTCCCTGATTGGCTGACCGACCAGTTTCACAATACATGACGCGTTTCCTGCCGCGTGATGATGCCCTCAATAAATACATTTTCTCATAAAATCTGGAGAATGAATCTGAAACACTTGACTGATGCAGAATTTCTTAACTATGTTATAAGTACAAATATTGACAACACAACATCAGCTGAGCGACCTCCAATAGATATAATATGGGATGCATTTAAGGCATTTATACGAGAGATATCTTTGACAGTTAAAAAGAAAAAGGACTATAGATGAGGAGGTTGACAGAAGGATTAATAAATCATTTTCAAAATACGTATAAGAAAATTCACTAATGCCAAGAGTGAATGGATAACAGCTACACTTAAAGTGCATGGAACCCACATTTTGAAAATGTAATAAAACTAATGCTAACCATTAATGCTCGTTTTAAAACACAGGAAAAAAGCAGAAGCTCCTACTTTACAGATCTGGAAAGATTTGATGAGATTTATTTGTCCATAGAAAAGACATTGTCTGAGGAGAACAACAAAATAAAGCAATTCAATGAGGTTTGGGAACTCTGGTGGAAATCAAGGGTATAGAACTATTGTGAGGTGTGTGTTAATGTGTGTGTGTGTTTGAATGTTGTGGGACAGGGGTGAATTGACCTATGGCTAAGCCCCGCCCTCAAACGCAATCAGCCAATCACAGTGCGTATAGCCATTCCCATACACTGGGACATTCTCTGCCTGGACGTCCATTGAAATGCATTACAGAAAGTCAGTTTGTTGGGTTTTATGAGCTTTTTCTGAGATTTGAAGTTTAAAAATGGTCAAACGGTGTGCATGGGGTACATGCAACTCTGACACAAGGTATCCTGAGAGGCTGGGCGACCAGGTGTATTTTTACACTTTAAACCACATCTCAAGCGAGAAAAGTGTCTCCTTTGGATAAAGTTGTGTGGTAACGTTAGACCACAACATCAACTCAACGTGAATAAGATTAACAATGATGTCTACATCTGTTCTAAGGTAAGTCAACATTGTGTTTGAGGCAACATATTGTCACTTTGCTGGAAAGAAATATAAAGTTATCTTTAACATCTCTAGCTAACGTTAGCTAAAGTTAGCCTAACGTTAGCTCCTAGCTGCGTTGTTCATCATGTCACCTTGTTTGCTGGGAGTTCATTAGCCTATTTTGTTCTAGTTTTGTACTTTGGTGATCGTACATCATTGTTAGCTGTTGTCCAAAGGGCTCTAGTTAAGCTAACGTTAACTTCTGGAGCTTAGCTTCATTAACTTATCTGTAATGGCAGAGATAACAAAGGTTGACAAACGTTATGCTGAATGATTCAGTGTAAATACTGTAGCACCAAACTAACGGAGAGACACTCTTGGTAAAGATGGTAAAAAGGCCGTTATCCTTTTCTCATATTCTGAGCCAAAAACCTTAACTTCAGTGGCACTTTAACTTGTTGTCTTTGATGGTGACGGCAACCAGATGCGGTTCACAAGCGTACACTGTGACCTGTAAATTTTGGCTTGTAATTTAAGCTTTTCATCGACCTTCTCAACAATAAAATGATGAATATATCCCTCCAATGCGTAGTTTAGGCCCTTTTGGTTACTTCTCAATGACATCTGATCTTTATGTCCCCAAAAATCATCATTTGCCTCCTGTGAAATGCCGTGTACTGTGACACCTGCCATAGCGCCGCTCACTGAATGTTGATAGTTTGTCCAGGTGAGTGGAGGGGGCTTGGCTTAGCCATAGGTCAATTGGATAGAGAAGTATGTGAATAGCGTTTAGGATGTAGTAATGAATGTTTTGTGTCTTGTGTATACAAATGTATGGACAGAGTGATGTTTTATGCTGCTTGACACCATTCTAGGATAGGACATGTTATGGAATACGTATTATGTGTGTAAAGGTATTGTTAGTTTGCTGTTGTCGAAATTGTAAGCAAAACTTCATGAAAGCATGAAATCAATTATAAAAAGAAAACTGGTGACACGTTTGTTGTTGAACTGTTACCCTACCAACACTAAATCAAACAGGGCACACATAACAGCACTGTAATCACATTTAGCTGGATTTAACCTGGACCTTAATAAAGATGTTACACACATCTCCCCAAAATCCTGATGTGTCTCTGTGTGAATGTCGGGGTGACCACAGGTGAGTGCAGCTGAGGACAGACAGCTTCTTTTTACCTGGAGGTCTTCAGTTACCTGTGAGCGGTGTTTTCTCAGAGATCTGTCTGACAGACTGAGAGTCACTCATGGAGCAACATTTCATCCAGCACTTATCCAACCACCAGCTTCATCACTTCTCTGTGTCTGCAGCTGTCCACCAGTAAAGTCCAGTTTGGCTTGTTTAGCCAGTGCAGAGCTACAGCTGACCTCTGCCGCCAAGGAGGGCTCAACTTTGGTGGGGTGTATTTCCTGGAGCTTCAGGTCGTAGTAGGTGTTTCAGAGTGAATGTTTGAGGACGTGCTTTAGTCCGACTTCCTGCAGCAGCAGAGTTCTTGTCGTCTTTCCTCCCGACAGAATCGTAATATAATGAAAAGTACTGAGAATATTTTCAGCAGCTGAGGTAGAAAGTGTTTCCATCTTCATAACTATCTTTCTGCTTTGTGACGTTCCTGCGCAGCACAGCAATTATGAAATTGATGTGCTTGTTGTAGTTCAAGTCAGCAGTGACGTGATAACAAATGTAACAGTGTCACCAGTAGTTTGGATTTTGGAGTAACTGTGATATTATTATATTAAATCTCAAAACTACCGTATCCTGCCAGGGACAAACTGTATGAACTGCCACATTGCTGCAAACTAGACACTGCAGCAGTGCCTCCTACTGGTTTAACAGGTACCTGCCTTACATAGTTAGTTATGTTTCGTTTTTTTGCATTAAAAGCGTGGAGATTAAAAAGGCCGATAAAGGCCTGGGTAAAATTACAGATTTATTCGACTGGCACTCTCATGTTCTTTGAAGATCTGAAACAGAAGTTTGACATCCAGCAAAAACATTTTTTAAATGTCTTTAGATTAGGAGCTCCATCTTTACCTACTCTCTCCTCTGTGGAAGAAATAGCTGCAAAACACCACTCAAAGAAGAACAATCATGGACGGCTCCCAGATCTCCTCAGAAATGAAAAGACTTGCACAGTATGAGGACTTAAATAGTGAAATCTCAATCGAGGACTCACAGACAATGTGCTTGAATGCTCAGACACAACCAATAAACACTCATTTTAAATTACTTCAATACAAATGAATAATGAGTATATATTTTCTTCTGTCCCAGCTTACCAACACTCACCCAAAGTGAACATATATAAACTCAAAAATTAAAATCATAATTAACAATGTGATTATGACTCATGGGGTGGAAAAAAGCAAGTAAGACTAAAATATTTCCAGTAAAGAAGAAGTCTGGTAAATATGTGAGCAAATAAGAGACATAAGCATTTTTTAAAGCCATTGATAACTTAATATTAAAATGTAGACGCTTCTGAATTCATAGCATGTAAATATTTTACTTGAAAAACTGAAATTATAATAATAATTATAATGAAAAATATATTGATTTGTAGTTTTTAAAGCTGAATTTCAATATTGTGTGTATTTTATACATCATATTTTGTATCATATTTTCATTATCATTTATATTTTTTTTTTCAAATGTTCACATATACAGATAAAATAATACAACTTACAAAATTACAGAATTAAAATAAATTAATAAATAAATTGGTCAAATTCAGATCCAAAAATTCAACTAGAAAATTTTCAAATTGCAACTTTGGGGTAACCCAGGAGGGGACAAATAATCAGGCCTGAATGTTTACGTACAATCAAATGCTCATAAACGGCACAAACCTGACGACTTTCAGGAGCCCTGTCGTTCTCCATGGTCCAGTCATTTTTAGGTTTCAAATTTCTACATCATTTTTGGATCATATGACTGATGGACCGCGCTCTGAAATCAAAAAAGACTTTTCCTTCTCAGTCAAGTCTCACTTTCTTTATTCAACCAAACTCAAACTTCGTCAATCAAACTTCTCGATGTGTGATACAGAGTCAAACAGAAATCAAAGAGGAAAAATACAACATTAAAAATTAATGGAGTAAAAGATAAAAAAAAATAAAAAGATTTTAAAATGCAGCCAACGCCCCAAAAATAAGTAAAAAAAACAAAAACAACACAGGAAGAAGTAACCAAAAATGTCCTGAGCAGCTGTTGTTAAGTTCCCTCTGTCACATCCCTCTTACATTTTACCCAGCGTTCACACCCAGACAGACTCGAGCTGCAGAAGCCTCACTATGTGAACAACAGAAAATAATGAGTACAACATTTACAGGTTGATTACATATGATTACCTGAGTATAACCAGACATGAATACACAATCATATGTTGATCAATGAACATATGAATGTACACCGGTATACAAAACGAAATGTGTATTAATAATCAGAAATATATCTTCATCAGGTTAAAATGTTTGGAAAGTGGAAAGCACACCCATATTAATACATAATGCACACCCTGACACCATTTTCCAACAAACGTGTCACCAGATCATCAACAGATGTTGTAGAAGTGAGAGAGGTTTAAGGCGTGCCATGTCTCAGCTGTCACAACAGGGTAAATGTGAGCTCTCTCAAATCCATTGAAGTCAGTGAATACAGAAACAGAGTAAGCACCCATGTTGTCGATGAGAAGCCAGTCCCCCACATGACACTCAGGCATCCAGTAGTCTTCAGTTATTTTGTCATTGCTGTTGCAGGTTGGACCAAAAAGGACAGACCGGTATCTCCGCTCGCTGCTCTCAACAGCCTGCACAAACAGTAAAAAGAAAAATCCACATCACACATGTTGTCATATTCTCCCTCAATCTACTCCTTGAAATCTCATATATGCCATTGCGTTTTAACATCGCTGCATCCCTGCAGAGGCCGCACCAAACTTCTGATCCATTTCACACTCCACTCTACCCTCACTCGTGAACAAGACCCAGAGATACTTGAACTCCTTTGCTTGGGCCAGTAACTCCCCCAATCAAGAGGGGGCAAGATTTATGTCCAATGACAACATTCAGTGCCAAGTGGAAGTACTGTCCTCTTTAGGTGGAAAATCAGTCATTTTATAAATTCAACAAGCTGCATTACATTGCCCATAATCAATATATCGACCCACCCACCACGATATGTAATCGACTTTAACCATTCAGCTGTAAACATGTTCAGATACTTCTTATGTGGTGACAGGGTTGATATTAACCAGCCCGCCCTCACCCAAAAAACGGCCGCAATTGACCCATATTTATGTTTACTGTAAGGCGGCGACCTCTAGTGGCCATAGTGATTATGACAGGAGCAAAGGAGAAAGTCAGGTGACGTAGCAAAAGACCAAAAAAGTCGACATAAAGACGAGGTCGTCGTGGGTGGATCATTGACACAGGAGATGATTCATATGAACCCAAAAGTCAGCGTAAGAAACGCACTTATTTCAGCCTGAATCATGATCGTTTTTCTAAACCTAACCACGTGGTTTTGATAACAGCAACTGTTTCATGTTGTTTTGAGAGTGATTGGCAAACGACTTATTCTGTTGTCCAGGTATGAGGACATGTTGTATTTACCCTGTGAGGATATGGTTCAACACTGTTGTGAGCAGTGTCATAGGTAACGCAGCTGATGGAGCCGTACATTCCATCGTTAAGGTAGTACATCATCATTCTGTCAGGGCTGTCTTCCTCTCCATCTGGGAAAAAAAAAAACATTCAAAAATCACCCCACACACAAAAGTCACCCACACCATTAGTTTTTAAAGTCAAGACACATTTAAATACAAACACACGTGTGTTAAAACTGGATACTCAACATTTATGTACCTTCAAAAGACATATTTATACATTACCGTCATGTCCATCCATATCCTCTAAGACCACTCTCTTGGCAATGATGTTCATTGCCAGTGTGAAGACTGACTCCATGTAGAACCGCCCTGGTTCTGCAATGATCTTCACCCCACTGTCAGACGGGAAGAATTCATCCAGTGCTCCATTAATGACTTCTGAAAACTAGGAGGGATAAAAAATAATGGGTTAATGGGTTGGTATTTGGCACTTTCCTCCTGGACATCTGAAGAGGTAGGAAGCCCGACAGGAGGACCTCGTATGCACTTCCCCTGCTTTCTCACCTCTGCATGCTCACAGCAGGAGCAGGAGCTTTGTTCTGAATGTGGCCTGCTCCCGGCAGACACAGAACCTGAAGACCAGAGAAGTTAGCCAAACACATGGTTTGCAGCTAACTTTCCCGCCACAAGAAGGATCTGCACCTTTTAAAGCTGTCATCCACAACGGACGACCGCTGGGTTACAGGGCTACAACAAGCAGCACACAGCAACTCTTGTAGCTTCCTGTTGTCAGTCATTTTGTTGTCGGCTAGATGGCCTTTGTTTCACACACACAGACACACACACACACACACACACACACACACACATGCTTGTACATTGTGACTAATTAAGATTGGTGTGTTTTGTTTGCTTTGCTTTCTAGTGACTAAATAGTTTTGGAATCAGACCTGCTGTTAAATATTTCACAAGAGTGAATGATCAATCATCCTCTGCCATGTCTAGGACTCCGAAATCCTTCAGCCTTCACTATTAATATGGTAATTCTAGTTATAGTAAATAATTCAATTATTAATCAGAGTTCCAAACTGATAGTTTGGTGTATTTTATGAGACTGATTTCATTAACTGGCTATCACTTTTCCCCTTTTGAGGAATGGTGCCCCACAGGGTGATTTAATGTAAAATGAGTCACATTATTTAATATATTTAATAATTATTATTAATAATTGTTAATTATTTCTGTAGTTACTGTTCTGACCTGTTACAAGCTCAGGTCCCAACAATAGGTATTTAAACCTCTATTCATATTCCAGACATTTCAGGGGCATTTTAAAACAACATGACCTACAGTAACCTGTATCACTGACATTACAGGCAACAAAGGCAAAGTTTCTACATGTGTTTCTATGAAGTACGAGCCATGTGATTAGAGAGCCCACGTGACAGATCATCGACTGGCGGCTGTGGCTCAGAGGCAGAGCGGGTCGTCCACCAATCAGAAGAACATCGGTTCGATCCTGGCTCCTCCAATCCGCATGTCGAAGTATTCTTGGGCAAGATACTGAACCCCAAGAGCATGTGAATGGTTACTGAGTAGCAGGTGGCACCTTGTATGGTAGCCTCAGCCACCAGTGTGTGAATGGCTGTGTGTGAATGGGTGAATGTGACTCAGCAGTGTAAAAAGCGCTTTGAGTGGTCAGAGGACTACAAAGGCGCTATACAAGTGCAGATCCATTTACCAATTAACAAGCACTACAACTGTATATTTTTTAATTTTACCTCTTCAAATTTCCCTTTGAGGTCTCCGGTCTCAGAGAACCCTCCACCAATATCCAAGAGTCTCATCTGGAATCCCTGCAAATTCTGAAAAAGACAACAATCAGTTGTTAGTGTTCATGTTGATTGTTAGAAAGGAAGAGTGGTTGTGCACTGTTCTACTGTGCAGACACACCTGGACAGGTATGACCTTCATGGAAGAGTCATCAGAAGAAAACCTTTCCTGTGTCCTCACCACTAAATTCAGCCTCACAACTTTGCAAAGAAACACTGAAACAAGCCTGATGCTTTCTGGAAACAC